AGATTCTCCTCTGCATTTGAGTTCTCACTAACAATTTCTGCAAGAGATAACTATTTCCATGTTTATTTACTGCAGGGAAGCATTGTTACTTTCAGTTATTCACTTCCCTATCTTTTACTCTTCGTGTTTACCTTCCCAGTCAGCTTTCCAATTTGATTTTTAATCTTAAATAACATGCCAGCTAGTGATAACTGACCCAGAATCAGCAGTATGGCATGTATTAACCTTGGCTAGAGTGTGAATGACGTCAATGCTATGGCCTTCACCTTCCCAGCAGATAAAGAACAAATTTGTGTTTCCTGTGCTTTTCCCAATTCTTTTTGCACTATAGACACTTAGAGAGAAACGTGTATTAATTCATCCATTCGATGGAGATAACTGCTTGAGACTACAAAGGGTATTGCTAGTCTTCCCTAGGGTTTGGATGCTTTCTGTTGCTGGCTGTTTGAGGAGCATTACTGCCTCATCAGCTGTATGCCAGGTAAAGCCAGTGTGAGGCACTTTTATTTTAAACTTCTGTAGTGGAGAAGGAGTTGGTTTAGACTGAAACCCAAGACCAGAACCCTGACTGGTCTTTCTCAGCAGGCTCTATTAACATCATCCCTGGGGTTTGGGAAAGGGATAGACAGGAATTTCCCTGTTCCTGTTTTTCAGCCTAGCTTTAGGCTTTCTGTTTGTTCCCCCTTTTCTTTGAAAGCTATAAGGGATGATGTGCAAGAAACATAAGATATGTTGCATTGAACTTCTGTTTCCTTTAAAGGCATTATCAGTTTTAAGGATGGCCTTTTCAACAGCAGTGCTCTTTTCCAGGGGGGAAAGTGTAATAGAAAGTACTAAGTATTAGAGCAGATGTAATGTTGCTCAGAGCTTTCCTCGTTGAATACCTTCCCCTAAAAGAAGATCATGTATTTAAAACTGCTCATCTTTATGTCAGTCCTACTGCACAGATGGCCCTTAATACGAGGGTCATGTTTATCCAAAGACTGTGACTGGAGTGATATGGGTATGATTGAAAGCTGCTGCAAGGGACGATGTCAATGATATTCTTAACTGATCAACAGAAAGTCCCTCTAATTTGTAAGTTTTAGACTCCAGGGGACCCCTTGTCTGCTGTGAAGCTGTAACAAGCATCTCTAATCTTCTTTTCCATGGATGTTGGCATTGCATTTAAGTATTATTACAGGATTAAATAAATTGTGTTCCCAGGGAGTTCGGTACAGTGGGCTGGTATTTCTGCAATGCTGTATCTCACCAGCAGAGCCTCCAATCTGATCCATGATACTGCATCCAAGGAAATACTGCTGCTTACAGACAGTTGCCATAGAGCTCTTGGCAGGCTGGAGGAGCCACAGAGCACAGCGAGGGTCTGGATTAGGAAGAGGTCACAGGTTACTGCCCTTAAGACTTGCTTGAGGGGAAGTGAGCTGACAGCAATGTTAGCTGTGATGGACACGCTGGCTGTTACAACTTCCTGGGATGAGTTTCTTAGAGAAAGTGGTGTTTCCCAACATGTGCTGCTGAGTATTTCCCCTTGTGAGATGCCTGTTGATGGGTCACCCCGGCTCTGGGTCACCCCGGCTCTGGGTCACCGAGCTGCCTGCAGGGTGTTTTCGGTGGGCTTTCATTGAAGGGGACCCTGAGACAGAGCTGCAGGATAGCACAGAGCCATGAGCCGAGGAATGCGTGTGCTATCCAACATCAGTGTGTTAGACCTCTTTCAGTAGCAAGTCCAAAGAAAACCCTCAAACTCAGACATCCCAAGGTGGGTATTTTCATTGTCAATCACAATGGGACACAAGAAGCATTTAAACTTGCTCTGCTTACTAGGACAGAGTTCAGAATATGGAAAGGCAAAGCCAGATTAAAGCAGGAGCCTTAAAGATAGGAGTCAAAGAGCTGGTGTGTCCCTCCAGCCGTTGCTTCTTGTGTTTGTTCTCAGGGGTGGAGTTCCACAACTTTACTGCTGCATTGAAGGGTATGTAGCAATATTTACGATGTTGGCTTCGTCAGGATAGATTGTATTGAGACTTTACATCATATTCTGACTCAAAATGAGTTGTTTAGGGTTGGAGTGGATGTTGGAATATATGCTGTCAGCGTGGTGATTTATAAAGCCATAAAGTGGAACTGCCAGCTCCATGAAAACAGACCCAGCTTGGTAAGAAATGTGGTAAGAAACGCAACTTTCAGATTTCCAGATTTAAAAGTAATAATAATAATAATTCATAGCAGAGTCCCTGCTACATGGCACACGGCATAGCAGCATTAGTCCACTGTGGTCTGGTCTTAGGGAGAGCAAGTAATTTGCATGGAATTACACTACTTAAATTTAGGTACTGTGTCTTCTAACAGGAACCCCTCTCATTGTATTCAACGATGGAAAGAGTCTGCTCTCAGAAAAAAACAATTTGTTGAAAGGGAAACTTTTTACAGAAACAGATCTATTCCAGTAAAGCTTGTTTATCTGGTCCAGGATGGAATGGGACCTGGGAAAACATTACTGAGATAGCTAGTAGTCAGGTCTGTCACCTTGGACGTAGGTTTCTCCTTCAGCCCACGTCCCCATTTCCCATGTGCCATGGAAGTAGTAGGTTCTTGATGGTCATTGGGTGGGTGCTGCTTCTTGTACTTTCACACAATTTTGGAAGTGTTCCACTTTTAGTCTTGGGGATAATTCAACCGAATCTCCAAATCTTACATGTTTTTTTTTTAGGACAGAATTTTTGTTTTCTGGCCAGCTGTATTTATACGTTCAGAAATGCAAGTCCTTTGCCTTGTTTAAATAAGAGTTAATGAAAACCTTTAAATGGCTTGGCAGCCATACAGTCTGTGTCTTGGATACAATAGTAAGCTTGTGTTCAGTCCAAAGCTAATGGACATCTGGGGCAGTTTCTAGGTTGCTGTCAGGCAGAAAGCCATTTCTGGACATTTTGGTCTTATAGGAAAGGTTTAAATTAAGAGTGCTTCCCCCTCCCCCCTGCCCCAATAACTTTTTCTTTAAACAGAATCTTTGTTTTATTCTGTGCCCAGTTATTGCTATCCTTCCTCAGCTTTCCTTTTCCAGGATTTTTTCCAGCAAGCAAATGGAGCACAATTGCAAACATGCTCAAGACATTGCTAAACCACATGTAATTTAAAGAGGAAATTAGTATTTTGTTGAATAAATGATAGTAGATAAGCTCCTGCTTTGGAACTAAAGAGCTCTTCAGCTCCAAACTTCTAGAGGGCATCTGCTGCCCCAGACAGGGTGGCTGCTAGGGGAGCTTATCATGTTAGAGATGCTGAAATGTTTTGGTGATTAGCCAAAAATGGGTGCTCTTTAAACATTATCTTCCTTTCTGGTGCCAAAGACCTGCTTGCTGGAGCAAAACACAGAAACAGTTTGAATGTGAGGCTGGAGTTTCGTTTGGTTTTGATCTTGTGCTTGAATTGCAGTGTAATTGCCCTAGTGTTGTTGATTTGTGGCTGAAGTTTCCCCTAGGTCTGGACAAACCTGTTTACGTAAATGGGAACGTATTTATTCCCCTGGCCCACGCTGGGTGCTCGCGTGCCTCCAAAAGAGCCATTTCTCGGCTGGAGAGGCACTAACTCTGTGGCATTAAAGGGTGCAGTTCAGATGCGCAGCTAATGGATTTGTGCCACCCTTCACCACTGCCAGAGGTTTCATTTGTGCCAAGGCTGAAGTACTAAGTGACAAACTTGTCACAGTTCAGCCAAACCATCCTGCAACCTGCCAAGGCTTTGTAGTTTCATTACACTTACCAGCTCTTTCGTGTGTGTGGACTGATGCAGTGATGCATGTCCCTTCTGACAGATCATCACCAAAATTGAAAGATTGTCAGCAGATTGTGGCTCTTCAGTTCTCCTAAAATCAACCATTGCTTTCAGCATTTGGTCTCTTTTGTATTGGTAAACAAAAGCAGGACTGGAAGTACTTTTGAAGAGTTCGTATTCAGACTAGTCAGTCATTCTGTTATAAGAGGTGGGTAGAAGTGGCTCAGCTTAACTGAAACATACTTCTACTGAGAGCTCATACCCAAAAATAATTAGGTACAAGTAAAGATTCTAGTGCAGAGATAAGGCATATTTGAACCACAGATAGCTTAGTTTTATCATCTGCTTGTTAATGATAGTACAACAAAGTAATTTTACATTTCCTGAAAGTAAGTATTTATCTACCACATGTAAGATGACACATCAGATGGTGAAATGCAAGTTGTGAATTTCCAGTAGGTTTGATTAAAACCAAGTTCCCCTTAACTGTACTGAAATTTCTATTTTAGTTTGAACTTTTGTAACTGTGCGTTTGCATGTGGTGCATTCAAATCCTTAGGTGCAAGGTGCATATGTGAATTGTGGTGTCCTGGGTCACAGATGGAAAGCATTGCTTGCAATGTTTGCCAGAAACCCCGTATTCCTACCTCCATGTACAATACATTCCTTTTACCTGTGTTTAGAATAGGGAAGTAATTATAGTTGGAGGCATATGAGTAACAAGGACCAAATTATAGTCATAAATAGGAGGGGGGTTTCCTAAGTCAGCATACAGTTGATCTAAATCTGATCATTTTCTCCAGTGCTGGACATTCTTGCTGGATGAGTTCTCAAGATTTTGCTGGATTTTGCCTCAAGAGCTTTGTTTAGCAGTTGCACTCCAGGCTGGGAATGCCTGAGAAATGCAGTGGTATCAGCACCTGTAACTAAGCCTTAGCAAAGATAGAAACGCAAGGGGTTTGTCTGCTACGAAATGTATGTCCAAGTCTGAGATACAGGAGGGCAGAAGTCTGTCTTTCTAGGTTTTGCCCAGTATTTAAAACTGTGCTTAGCCCTTTTACTATAGCAGATTATCCACAAGTAGTTGGGGATAGGTATTTTTGGAAAGCTTTTACTAAGGCCATTTGCTAACTGCAGCAGAATTTGGATAGAGCTTCTTAGAGCAGATGTTCCAATTGGCAGCACTTCTGCCTCTCTATTAATAAATGTCTCATCTTTTTTTCCAGGATTCAAATCTTTCGATACACACTGATAATCCAGACCTGACACCGTGTTTCCAGAATACCATCCTAGCATGGATCCCTAGCATTTATCTATGGAGTGCATTACCCTTTTATCTTCTCTACCTAAAGCACAACAAAAGAGGGTACATCGTGCTTTCCGTGTTGAGCAGGTTCAAGACGGTAAGATCTCTTTGCAGTGCTCCGTGAGTAATTCAGTGTTGAATCTATTAGCATTAGTTCAGTATCCAAGCAAGTGCTGCAGTAGGGTTTAAACAAAATGTCATCTGATTTATGGGGGAACTGAAGAACTTATAGGAAACAACAGTGTATGTACAGATTTCTGAGAAAGGACACCAAAGTATAGCTTATCTGTAAGGAAATCCATCCTGCGAGCCCACCTTTCTGGGTAGAGGGAGTTGTTGATGGCTCTGCAGAAGAGAGTTCACCTCTTTGTTGAGCCAAAAATATGCTGCTTTACCCTTACTTGAGCTTTAAACCACTGAAAGCTGCAAAACAAAGACCTTAAGGTAGGTCTAGTGAGAATTTATCTCATTGTGAAAGTAAGCACAAGAATGTATTTTTTCAAGCCACTCTACCCACCCAATAGCTATGTGATTTCATCTGTATCTTCTGCTTAAGAGATGGCTGGTGTTAACAGCACCTCTGGTTTATAAATGGCTAGGTCTAAGGAAAGCAAACAAGTCACTTTCCATAGGCCATGAGAGAACTGGGGTTATTCCTGGAGAAGAATTTCAGGCTTCTGCTTCAGGGCATGTCTGCCTTTAATCTGGATGCTGCCTGTGTTTCCAACCAAAACTGAATAGTATGGGAAAAAAACAGGTAAATACGTTAGTCTTTCTACTGGTTGTGTTTGCAAATCCCTTGGAAAGCAGATGAGACGAGATCCTTGGTTTGAGTGCAGTGGGACAGTTCTGTTAGCCTGACCTGCAGCAGTTGTTGTTCTGTTTATACAGCTTTGTCTTGCTGGGAATCTGTGAATCATAACGGTTTTGCTAGCCCTCTGACTGCCCCTGGAGATAAGTTTACCAAATGCTGTTTCTGTTTGACTACTTTCAGCTGTTTGGTGTCCTGCTGTGGTGCGTGAGCTGGGCAGATCTCTTCTACTCTTTCCACGAGCTCCTGCAAAACAGAACACCTCCACCAGTCTATTTTGTAACCCCGCTGGTCGTTGGCCTCACTGTGGTTCGTAGCTGCTTCTGTTTATTGTGACCAACAAGAATAACTCTTTCTTAGACCGATAAAGGAGAAAAAGGGTTCCTCTGCATTCATTGCCTTATCCTGTACTCTTTTAACTAAATTATTAGTACTTGTATTACTGAAGCAAATTTTGCTTAGGCCGCAGTTGCAGATATCTCTCTCATGTGGATTCAGCTATGTAAATTAAAATCTTTATAATGGAGAGATTCTTCTGCCTCCCACCTTGCTCTCATCTGTTTCTGCAGGCTTGTGATCCAGGTGTGGAGAGAATTTGGATAGGACTTTGCCTGAACAAGGAGATATGATAGAGCACAGCAGTATTGTATTGGACTTTGTAAAACTGTCTCTCTTATCTGGTGGTTGTTCCTCTATTAAACAGAAACCAAATTTGCTTTGCCTAGGATGACAAACAGGCTTGTGGCTGTTGTATGAAAAATGAGGCAGTAAAATTTGCCCATTAAGTTTTTAATTTCCTTGGATAGATTTTTTTAAAATCTTGTTTTCTAGAGAAGTCATGATTGTCCATCTGGATTGGAGAAATGACAGCTCTTACATTTGTTTAAAATGTTTGTAGCTAATATTTAATTGTGCCTAGCCCTAGGTACAAAGTCTGGTTTAAAAGTTGAATTCTGGAGATGAGGCTCTGAAAACGGTAAACCAAAATTATTTCATAAAGTTATTCGCTGCTTTCCTTAGACAGAGGAGGTTTTGCCCTTGACTTCTGTGAAGTTATGATGGGGCCTTATTTCAAAGAGGTCCTGTTGTCGATGATGACTGTAATAGCTGCCAACTGAGAGTGTGAATAAGGGAAGCAGTGGGATGGGATCGTGTTCACGTGTTCCTGTATTTACTTTTACAGCTGTTAGCTACATTGCTTATTCAATATGAAAGGCTGAGAGGAGTTCAGTCCTCTGGAGTGCTCATTATCTTCTGGCTTTTGTCTGTGCTCTGTGCCGTGGGGCCTTTCAGGTCTAAGATCATGACTACAACAGCACAGGTAACATGCCATCCTTGTTAGCACTTGGGGAACAGGAAATGTAGCATTACATCTCTGTGAAGGGAATGAAGCACTGAGTTTGGAGTCAGGTCTGAGCCCAGCTTTTGGCAGAGAGAAAGAGAAGTTTGGTTCCGTTGCCTTGACTCAGAGTTGTGTAACTTGAAGGGGACTGGGATTTCTCATGCAATGTCAAAAAGCAGATTTTGCTTAGCCCAAGGCTATACTGGAAACCTGACAGACATGTGAGGGCTGTACCAACACTGTGTGTATATATATTAGAACAGACTTTTTTTTTCCTTCTTTTTTTTTTCCTTCCCTTTTTCCTTTTGCAGCCCCCTTCCGCTGTCATGCTTAGATAGGGATGGGTAGTAATTGGAGATAATGCATTTTAATCTGTAGTGTTCCTTTTTTGCTTAGGCAGCTTGGCCACTTTATACAGCTCCATAGGCTTTCTTTTGTCAGTGCCTGATGTGCTGAGGACAGCATTTTCACTCCAACTGTGGCTGTAAATAGAGAACAGGAGGTTGGAGGGAGAGGAAAGAAACCTGGGCTGTTATGATTCCTGTTTGAAAACATAGCAGGTTCTCCCACAGTAAGAAAGTTGTTATGTTTTTCCACAGAAACAAATTTCATTAAGTAGGGCAAAGCAGATTGCTTCAGTGATTAGATCATTAAAGGCTAGGAGTGAAAAAGAGTATTTGAAAAACGTTAAGATGAGTGCTTCTTTTCAGTGAAATCAGTGTTGATTCTGTTTGGTGATCTCTTTTTTTTCATACTTGCTTTTTTGTAACTATTGGCAGCGTTATCCTGTTAGCAAGGATTTTTCTATACCAGGCTGTTGTAAATATTCCAGTGGAGATTGAATTAAACCTTAAATGACAGTCTGTGCAGAACTTCTTCAGAAAATAGCTGCAATCCTGGTGAGACCCTTTCAAACACCACTTAAAGTCAATTTTAAAACTGTAGTAGTGGTGAATAAGTACAAATATTGGACTATCAATATTTGAATCCATAATCAACTTAGAATTATGGGTGCAGAGCCTTAGAACAGGTATGGGTAACATTCTCCTGTTCTTGCAGCTGTCCAGGACCGAATATTCTTTCTCTTGCACTTAAGGTTTAAACATTTTAAGTAAACAATGAGAGCATTCACAAGTACATTAGGGTATGAAAGAGCTGTATAAGGGACATACCCTCACAGCAAGAAGTTTTAAGTCAACTGCAGACTCATATGAGTAGGAAAGGAAATATCTCTAGAGCAGATGGAACTGTTATTATGCAATACAGTGTTTTTTTGCAGCTTCTTCTGAAAGTATTTAACACTGACTGCTTGTCAGTGACAAGATACTGAAGTAAGTGGATGTTCTCTGATCTGGGTTGATAATTCCTATGCTTAAGACATGATCTTGCAACAACCCCTGGAGGTAATTTAAAAGGATGTCATGTAGCCCTGATTCCAGAGGGTGTCTGCATGCAGTGATGATGTATAAGCACTTTGAACTTGACATAATTTCATGAAAAGCTTGGAGATAAGCATGTTCTTAGGCACTTTACAGAGTACCTGCATACTTTTGTAAGATAATTCCTGCTAGCAACTACTTTGCAGTATTCAACTGTAGAGCAAGAAAGGAATTGCCAAAAGAAGCTGTGAAAAAGTCAGAGAGAGCAAGCGTGTGTGTGTGTGTAGGGGGGGCTGGGAAGTACAATAAAAACAATCATTTACTGTGTTTCTTTTTCCCTCTAGGGCCATGTAAATGAAAGGTTCAGGTTTACCACATTTTACATCTACTTTGCTTTGATAATCATTGAGTTAATCCTTTCATGTTTTAAAGAAAAGCCTCCATTTTTTTCCCCTGTTAATACAGATCCTGTAAGTATTTTTACTTTGCTTTATTTGCATTTTACAGACTATATCGTGTTTTGAGAGTTCCACTGAGAATACTTGTCATTGAAAACAGCTTTGGATTGTCATTGAGATTGAAGTAGTTAGTGACTGCCTTACAAAACGCTGGGTATGGAGAGTGATATTGGGGTTTGAAGCCTTTTTCCATTATATGTGCCATTGGTAATGACTGGAAGCTATGTAGCGAAAGCAGCTCTCCTACTCGCTGCTTCACAGCAGTTTAAATTACATTTATGAATGCTGAAGTGTAATATTAATTATTTCAAGAGTGCTTTTTGTGGAGATGGTAGTCTCCTTGCTTAACATTCATTTAGAGTTAGCTAAAGTCTATAAGGATTGTCTTAATAAACAAGTTCTATATGTATTGAGAACAGGTATGGAAAAACATTAATAACAGAAGATATTAGTAGTGTCACAGGTTAAATTTCTTCTCCAATTCATAAAATGATGTCTATAGTTGGATTTATGTTTGAACCAAGCTGTGAGAGAAGTTGAGTTCATTTCTTAAAATGAACGTTTCAGAAACTATAGAATGACATTTTGCTTTATGTAAGTGTGATTTAAAGGCAGTATATGAAGCAATTTTTAAAGATAAAAAGAGTTCTGCATGACATGGGAAATGAAAGAAATCAATTTTATGTCTCGTTAGGACATAGGTGCATACATGTAATACACCAAAATTGATCAAAATAGACTGTCTTCTTATTAAAGTAATGGTAAATGTCTTGCTTTATTTATTTTGGGGTTTTTTTTCCCTCCATACCTTTACTATAGAATCCATGTCCAGAGTTAACTTCAGGCTTCCTGTCAAGACTGACATTTTGGTGGTTTACAAGGTGAGCTTCTCTTTTCAAGCTATTGGACAGCTGACAGCCCCAAACTCTACTTGTGATAGGTGTTGTACTGTGAGCAATACAGAGATTTTTCCTCTGTAAGTAATTGATGTTGGATGCTTTTTTATCTACAGAGGTGTCAGCACTTCTAGCATTCACCTTTTTAGAAACAGGTTTCAGAGTGCTCATACTGCCCCACCTTCTTCTCTGAAGAGTAGTGGCAACAGTTGCGGTATCACTAATAGGCTATACAGCCTGCTGTACTTACTGAATGCTGGAGTGTAACCTAAACCAAGATGTAAGACTGTGTTCCACAAGATTAATTGTGGCAACCCTTCACCCACCTGAGGATGCATTTTGTTTCCTGTTGAGGTTCATGGGTGAATGCTTTTTTATAAGGACATTTTCTGTGCAAGAGGGAAAGTAAACTGGATTATATATACAAATGATTACCACCAACTGATACTGCTGTCAAAAGGCATGTGTGTTGAAGATGCAAATTTGCGATTGGGCTTACTAGTACTCCATGATGAAGTGGAACAGCTGCCAAAGGTCATGTTAAGACCCAGTTTTTCCAGTGGTTGAGGGTGTTGAGATCTTCATTCTTCCATCCGTGTAACTTTATTGTCCTGGCAACAGCCCTGTAACGTTCTTTTTAGTGAGAGAGTGAGATCTTTCTAAACTTCCAGAGTTTTGAATGTTTGGCTTCCCCATTGAGATTCTTGGCAACTAGATGTTTGTACCCCTTGACAGAATTCCTCAACTTACAGTTGAGGAACTGTAGTTTTCAGAGAAATCTGATTTTCCTTTAACTTACATAAGCTTCACTTTTGCATTTTGTTTACCTCTGACAGTTAGTCCAGGTAGGCTTAGTTATTTTCACCTCTAAAGTGTCACTGTTTTCATTTAACATCACAGTTGCATTCAAATGCTCTAGTAGTTGGTTTTTATTGTCCTTTTTTTCTGAAGTGATGTTTTCAATAAAATACATGTAACCAAAACTACGTAATGTCCTTTCCTTAATTGCAAACATCAATATAAGGAACAAAGGGAGATGGAGCTATAATTATCACCCTTTCTGTGGAGATGTATCTTCTTGCTTTTGTTAGCTTAATAGTCCCAGAGTTACCAGCAATGCTTTAAGTACTATTAACCAAACTGAATTGGACTGGTTTTCTCCATATGTGCAGCATGGCAATTCTTGGCTACAAAAGGCCCCTCGAAGATAAAGATTTGTGGTCACTGAATGAAGATGATACTTCAAAAGTTATTGTGCAACAACTAAGTCAACAGTGGGACAAAGAAAAAGCAGAGTGCAAACAGTAAGTATATGAACAAGTCTGCAAACAAAGATTGATCTGAATCATTTCAACATTAATAAGCTGCTCATCACTGAAAATGAGCCAACTAAAAGTGGCCCCTACCTCTTCAACCTATCTGTTCTTCATTCGTATTAACAGTCAAATTTGCTTATTTTAGTATGTCTAGGCAGAGGCAAGCAGGAGCCCTCTGGGGCTTGTGTACCACCAACTCACTTTTTAACTAGGTGCTTAAAATCTACATGGGCAGGTAGTGCCATTTACCATGTGGAGAAGGGCTGAAGATGTGTAAGCAGAAGGGATTGAGTTGGCTGGATTGTAGAAAATGAGCAACTTTCATCACTGCACTGGTAGATGTCTAGCCCCATAATTGCATCCCTCCTAGGCATGCTAGAGCACAACTTCTAGGCACCATAAACCGACAGGAATTCCTCATCATCCGCATCATGAGTTTTTTGGCCTGACACTATTTTTAGCCTTAAGGCTCTTAGGAGTGAGCAACTCTTCACTTCCTAGCAGTAAAGATATGAAACTCAAAACATGTGAAGGGCAGGCGGGGAAGAGATAACCCACTTTAAGAGCTGAGACCCTACTCCTCTTGCCTAGAAAGTTAGCAGCAAAATTCTCATAGTCTCTGATGGAAATGGGATGAGGGTCAGAACTTGCATATAGTTTCAACCATGCTGGAGAGGATATCCTTTTTATTACAAGTTCTGTCATAATCTAATCTTAAGAAATTATCTATTGTGCAACTTTATTTCCTTCTCCCACTGGTTAGTGTCCAAAATGTTTCCAAACAAACAGACGCGATAATAGTGTGTTTCAAATGAAAAATGTCAATAAGGAGGAGGCCTGCACTTCCATTTCCTTTCATTGTGGAGATTTCTTCTCCATGTGGAGGCTCTCCTCTGTTCTCTTTTGTGCATATCCTTGCCAAATTGGAAAGACCCTATTATGTGATAATATTAGGAGAGAGTTGTAAGGTTCTTGGCAAGGCTAAATATGATGCGGAGAGTTCCACTTCGCAGCTACAATTTGAAAGGTTTCCAGCACTAACACCAGCAGCTTGTCCACTAGTGCTCTGTGCGTATGTGCATTGTGGTTTTACTTTGGGGTTGTTTTTGTTTTCTTAATGTCTCTATTTTTATGGTGTGGAATAACGTGCATTGTCTGGGTTCTGGTCTTTTTGCACAGACATAAATCTTACTCCCCCAGGCTTTTATATAGTAAGAGCACAGCCATTGTGCAAAAGTGCCTAGGGTCCAGGAAAACTTGCTAGGAAACCAGAAACCATGCCTGGAGTTTTGTCATGGGATTCACTGCATTTTGGAAATTATTCATACAAACTGGGGCCAGTTGGCAATGAATTTAACCATAAATCCTGGCTTGTATTTAGCTCAGGTAAAACTTTGTGGCAACTATATTAATAATTCTAAGGTGGGGAAAATTGCAAAAACAAAGCAAATCACTGTACTCCAGATTGCTGGGTTTCACGTAACTCTAAAAGCTTCATGGCTCTGCTTATTCTTCAATTATAAGTAGGTATTCTCAATTACTTCATGTCAGATAACGTTAGTGGTAGTTGCTTGGGAGCCGTTGTAAATACTTTTTTTTTTTTTTTTTAAACTCTTCTCATTAAATCTGCTCTGAGCAAACTTTTATGACATAAAAAATGCTGTGTCAAGCTGTACATGTGTTGAAACTGTCATGGAAAATATTTGCAGTGTACGTAGTAGTAATTTATTTTAAAAAACTTAATCAGTTGCAACTCTGGCATAGCTAAAGCTTTAAACTTATTTTATGGTAATGATTATCACATTTCTGTTGTTCCTAAATCTACCAAATGTTCTTTACATTTTGCTTCACAGCTGTCTTGTGAATTACTGTTAAATAATTAGTAATAATTCATTTGCTATGAACGAGTTACAGGAGAGATCAGTGTGGATTTAAGTTGTTGTTATAGATAATAAAGCATGCAAAGAATATTCTTCGTTTGTTTTTGCTCTCTGCATATATGGCTGAAGTCTCTGCTTGCTCACTTTACTGATAAGTGCAGTTGCTTCTGAGAAAGTTAGAGCTGTGCTGGAGAAGAGAGAGCTGGAATCTATTTTGCCTCATTTTTAGTTAGCTTCTGATTTTAGACTATGCTTATGAAGACAAATTGAAGATGCAGGGCCTTGTCATCACCATTGAGAAAGCTACGTGTGTTCCCATGAGATAACCAGCATCTATTATCTGCCCTGCTATAAATAATGGAAACCAGGCACATGCTTTTTGCTTTGATTAAAAAACTGGGTGTGAGCAGTCCCACACACTGCTGAAAACCTGACCTCACCTACCTACCCGTAGTAAACACTAGAAGTGCATTTTCTCCCTTTGGGATTTTTAGCTGTGAGAGAACTATTGCGTTACTGTTAGCTCCCTGTAATAAACATTTTTAATAGCACAAAGCCAGAGGCAAGTAGTCTTGTTTCTTCAAATCCTTCAATGAGTTTAACAGCCTGGTTGCCAGAAAAATAAGGCTTTGCTCATAAACTCTCCAGGTTTGATCTGGAAGGACAAAGACAACACTGTTTGTTCTTGTCTGGGGGAAGAAAAAAATTGTCTGGTTTATGTTCTCCCCCTGCCCTCAAACTTTATTGCAAAGAAATTGGAATTTGTACATGCATTTGTTTGAAAGGATGTGAACAAGTTTCTACCTGTGGACTGTTAGCCACAGCAATCATTTTGGAAGCTCACAGGCTGTTGGAATTATTTGACTCTGCAGCCAGCCAGCTCCAAAAAATCTGCACACTCTTTATGAAGAATCATAAATCCAACCACACTTGGTAGTACTTACAAGTTATTTTTCAAATGCCGCCTTGTAAGTCTTCACTGTTTCTAGGGTCTCTCTTCCATCTGTCCCTTCTTATAAGGCTTATGTGCCCCAGACTAATTTCCGTCTTCCTGCTCCACCTGGGCTTAACCTTCCTGGCTGACATTCAGGAAATTGTTCTGTAGGTCCTGTAGCCCCCAAGAAACAACAGCAATTTGGAATTTGCTGGTAGAAGAGCTGCCAGGCTGCTCTTTGGGAGCAATTCATGGAGGAAATAATTTTCCAGAGCATCCCCTTTTTATTGATGGGCAACAGAAGTCAGGCACCTAAACCCCAGAGGTGCTTCTAGAAAACTCACGTAGAGCCCTGGAGAGCAGCATGGACCTGTTAGGTCCATTTTTCATCAGTCAGTCTCAAAGAGCTTTGCAGAAGAGGTCACTTTTGTTGGATTATTTTGCAGATGGAGAAAGAGAGGCATAAAGTAAGAAAGGGATACAGCCAAACAGGGTTTAAATGCTTAAATTGTCATCTGAGTAAAATTTAGGCACCTAAACCCAAAGTTTCTGTGCTGGAAGAACCTTGGACAGCTGTGGCCCAGATCTCAGAGATGGGTCAGCTTTGAAGGTGCTGTGGTTTGTACTCTTTAAAGTTTCCAGGAATGCAAAACTCCGTATTTTAAGAGGGCTGTGCCTGCTTCCTCTGGGCTTAGCGTGATTCAATGCCTGTCTCCCCTGAGCCATTCAGACTACTTCTCTGAAAGCAGCTGTGTGATCAGATAAGGATAAAGGTTTAGTGCAGCTACTAGTTGAATAACAAATACAGTCTCAGAAGGACTAGGTGAGGTTGCCTTTTGTGGTATGTAAATAGCAACTGTTAGAGGATTCCTTTACAAGAAATTGGAGATTCAAGTCCACTCTGTCCTCTGCCAAAGGAAGTCAAGCCTTCATCTCCTACTCCTTTGGGCCATGTTCTCATCCCATAGTGACTGATTTTCTGGCCTATGGAGTACACTTGGTAAGTATTGTGGAAAAAGAAAAGCAAGCAAGACTCATTACACAAGAGTGGCCTATCCCAGAGCACATCTAGATCTTGTTGAAAGTCTTGCTGTTGATCAGTGGCAAAGCAAAGAAAGGAGCAGACTTTTAGATGTTACTGCAGTGCTGTACACACAGGGCAATGACATTCTTGTTGTCAGTTGTCTCTAATTGCTTGTTTCGTTCCCCTAGGAAACAAGATGTGACATATATGAAGAAATCTAACCATGTGCTGAATCATATTGGTGACGGTCCAGAGGAAGCAGAAGTTCTGATTAGAGACAAGAAGCACAGTAGACAGCCTTCCTTTCTCAAAGCTTTGTTGAGGACCTTTGGGCCATACTTCTTAATCGGCTCCTTCTTCAAGCTGATACAAGACCTACTTTCTTTCGTCAACCCTCAGCTGTTAAGGTTGGTTTACTGTGTGAGTAGTTTCTATGTGCAATCCCTATGGAGGCTTGGCTTTGGCACAGAGTATTTATTTTTGAAATGCATAGCTAGTTTCCTTCACAGTGCTGCGTGTGTATGCTCCCCCACCTTCCCACTGAAATGCCATAAAACAGGAGTTCTTTACTGTGGACTAAGCTGTAAATTGGACAAGCTTCACTGAAATGCAAGATTCGTAAATCGCCCATCACCAATAGACAGCTTTGAATTACAAATTACCTGTTGCTCCATGCAGCAGTCCAAAGCAATTTCTCCCCGTTTCTAAAGGATTATTTGTGAAATCAAAGGAAAGCACTGCTTGCTGGATCCAGTAGTCACTGTACATCTGATACCCACATGTTTTGGTGGTGGCCGCAGCTGTAGCGTGACCTGATATACAAATGAAGCTTGATGCTCAAGTATGTGGTGCTTTGGCTATGCTGTTGTCCTCTGGGAAAGATTTTGGACCATTTAGGATGAGTTCACGTGTTTTTAGTTGTGCACAGCACTGAGAATGTGTGAGGCACAGTTGCAGCAAATTTTCATGTGAAAGGAAATTGTGGTTCTAAAAAAAAAAAGAGAGAGATCTTGACAAAAGTGGTATGTCCTCAAACTATCCTTGTATGAGGAACACCTGTACCTCCCATCTCCGGGGGGACCAGTTGCTCAGCCTAATCCATAAAGGAATTTGCATGATCCCCACATTTTTTTCTCTGTTAGTATTATTCTTAAAGTGAGAATTTTCACCAGATAATAATTAACTAAGAAGAAAGTAACAGAGGAAATACCAGCATTTATGTCAAACAATTATTTTTTTATTTCCAAATCTATGGAGAAGCACATAGTCCTGTTAATGCATGAGAGAGGAATGGAGTTTGGATGGAGGCCACAGGTGGATGTGGGGAAGGGGAGAAGAGAGGGCCCTGCTCCTGTACGAGTGCCTCTTAAAATAACACCAGTGTGGAGCTGCGTTCTGAGATCATGTTGTTCTGTGGGTGGTTTGTGACATACCCAGAAATTTGCTAAAAAGAGGGTCCAACCCAGTATGGTGACATTTAATAGCTTACAGTCTGTCTTCTTCCAGAGTCCCTAGTGAAGAGGAGGCAGCTGGCTTCCTTCTGAGAACACATTAAGTATAATCTATTATGGAAATTTCTCAAATTTGCATAAATTCCTGGGTATGTTGTCAGTGATATCTCAAGGCATATGATGGGGAATTTCTTCTTGAGTCTAAATTCCTGCAGTCTTGGAAAATGCACTGCTAGTGGTAAGAGAAAATGAAAAAGCCATGGCTGTCTGGCAGGTTGTGTGTAAGATAGTTTAATGTTTCTAAAAAGACTGTTGAATCCCATGCTGGGACTATGAGGAAGACGTTTTGCTGAAGCTGTCCACTTACAGCATGAATGACTGGTGCAGTGCAGAAGGAAGATCTCTCTGGACTGGAAGAAGAAAGATGTAGCAACCTCATGCTTCTAATGCAAGGCTTTGGGGCCTGATTTGTAGTGTCCAGGTGTATTTTCCCCCTGCTGTTTATTTGAACCATGGAGTCCCATATTTTGACAATGCAATACTCTGGTCAGTAGGCTGAAATCACAAATGTAATTTTTGAGAACACTGTACATTGCCATATGTTGTTCTGCTTGTTTGCTATATGACAGTGTGCAGGTCTCACAGGGAGAGCTGTGTGTGGTAAGAAATGTCTTATTGGTAAAAGATGATATAGCCAGTTTAATGGTACTACCATTTTACTAAAAAAGTAGGAGTGAAGAACTCTTTATGCATCCATCCAGGAGGATGTCTTTTAATCTAGCTTTTTTGTGGGAAAACACCTCAGGCAGAAGCACTCAGGCTGCTTGAAAAGGATTTGGGTAAGAAGCTGGTTTCGCCTGCTTTACTACACTGTCCTACTATGTCCTGTCATTCACATCTTGCCCTGGGGGGCTGCCTATTAAAGCTCAGACATCGAGCCATGTGTTTAAACGCTGAATCTCAGGGGAAACCTACAGTTTCTCCTCATATTTCATTTTCTACAGGCTCATTTGCAAACGGACTTTCTCACTGGCAAAGCCTAAGGTTTTGCTGTTGTATCTTTGCAATGTTGTTTGACTGAAATCGTAACTCAGCTTGCATCTTGGAGAGCTGTTTACTTTCTGTGGTTAAAGAGAGGATGTGGCAGGATGCCATAGTGGAGAGAAGCTGTGTTATGTCCCGTTAAACTTGCTGCATGTTTTTTATTTTTGTTTCTTTTTTCCTTTTCCTTCCCTAATCTTCTGAAAAACAGTGTATTAATCGGCTTCATTAAGAACGAAGATGCCCCAGCCTGGTGGGGATTTTTAATTGCGGCTTTGATGTTTATCTGTGCTGTGCTGCAGACACTCATACTTCACCAGCATTTCCAGTACTGCTTTGTTACTGGGATGAGGCTGAGAACTGGGATCACTGGAGTGATATACCGAAAGGTAAGACTGGAAGCGTTTCATGGGCTGGACACACCAGTGCATAGCCAAACAAGTGGCCTCAGTTCTCAAATGCTCCGGGAAGAGCAGGCATATTGGAGAAGAATAGCCTCCTGGAAAATAAGAGATTGTTTTTTTTGTGAGCTTTTAGGAGTACCTCTATCATACTTTACAGAATTTTCTAGTGATCGGCAACTTAATGTGGGTATACTGGTAGGTCACCAGACATATCACAGGCAAATATTTGTTCACTTTAAATATTCAGAAGAGGGATCCAGGAAAATAGCATGTTTGTGCTATGAGTTGATCAGATGCAACTAGGTTTTCTTTGGAATGCTACATACTGCTTGAGATAGAGGTGCTCACAGGCATACCATTTCATGAAGTCTTGTTCTCTGGAGATTAGGAACTGATGTAGGTGTGAATTATTTTATTCTTGTTGGAGAAGCACATTCTCAGGGAGTGTCTTGTTTTGCTAATAATTGAAGATTTTTTCTCTGTGTTTCTCCATACATATCAAGATTGTGAATCCACTGAATCTCTCTTATTTCTCAGTCCTTAGTCATCACAAACTCAGCAAAGCGCTCATCTACTGTAGGAGAAATTGTCAACTTGATGTCAGTCGATGCCCAACGCTTCATGGACCTGATGACCTTCCTGAACATGTTGTGGTCTGCACCACTCCAGATATTTCTAGCTTTGTATTTCCTCTGGCAGGTACAGACATTGCCACACTTTTTTCAGAATTTGTCTAAATGATGTGCAAGCTGCTTATTTTCTTGTTAATTTGACCCACCACTGCTTTTTTAGAAACTTATTGTTCTGCCTTGTAGTAAAATAGCTTGTACGTGATCAATTAGTCTCTTAATTATTTTGTTCAGCTGGTAGGCAAGATAAGGCATTTGAACTGAAAGATAGCTTTTATGTCTCCTTTGTCCCTACCGTGCTTTGATAGGATCAGTCTTGGAATCATCACAGTGTTCCCGGTAGTTGATACAAATGAGAGTTTGAGGGAAATGGTTTAAAAACCAAACCAAACAAAAAAAACCCTGGACACAGGAAATGTAAGCCATGTGTAAAGATTATATCATGCCATATAAAGAAGTTTTGTGCAAGTCAACATGAAGCATATCTCACCTGGAATAACTATAATTTTTCCTTCACTACAGTGAAGTTTTTCCTGGTTTATTCCAGGTTCAGTCTGAGCACTGGCTTTCATCCATAAAATGTTTGTATGTAATTAATCTGTTTGACTGCATAAACCAGTAGCACCAACATAACCATATTGATTTAGACTTGAAAGCCATTAAGTTGCAGTAGCTTTATGAGTTACTGCTCTGCTGGTAAGCTGAACTCTGGTAGCTAGCAGTTTGTATGCTTTTACTCTTATTGAGGGTACTGGGTTAATTCACTAATTACAGTTCCCTAGGTCAGAGAGAAGTCAATGGAAAAATACCTTCCGTGTAGCTTATTTGTTCCCTTTCTACATTTGCTCAATAGCTCTGTATTTGCATTAGTTCAAACTTACTTTCCCCTCCCACTGGGAACCACTTAACAGGTAAATCACAAAGTGCTCTGCTATCACCAATACTAGCATCATAATAATAATAATTCAAGGTGGATGCTGTCATATTTTTCTGTCTCCTCCTCATAGTTGTTCTGTGGAATCAGAACATTTCACTGGAAGGAGTTCAACTTGTCTATGTAAAACAGTCGTTTCTGTTTCTATAACCTACTGTTGTTTTGATGCTCACCATAGCGAACAGCAGCACTTGGGTACAACAACAACTTCCCTTTTTTCTTTCAATCAAGACTTTAGGGCCTTCTGTGCTGGCAGGAGTTGCCGTGATGGTTTTACTTATCCCATTTAACTCTGCAATAGCAATGAAAACCAGAACGTTCCAGGTAAGGTACCAGCAGAGAAAGTGACGTTATCTGAATTGGCAGCTGTGCTATGAGAAATGAAGGCATCAGTGGTTGTCTTGGCTATTAATGAGCTGCCATTTGCACCAATTTACTTATGAGTAAGATTGTAGTGATATATTTAATAACTGTATCCTCTCAGATAGTTTTTCCATAGAGAATTGAATGCTATTTAAGGGAAAGGCGTGGCATTGAGTCAGTGGCCCTTCATACTGCTGGAACAGCTTCTGGGATTAGCAATAAGTTTCTTTGCCTCCATATCGCTTCACCTGGTAGCTTCTTCTAGGAGTAGCTAGAGAAAGGGCAAATAAATGCTGTTCTTTAAGCTGTGAATGACTGTTTTCAGAGACAGAACTGAAACCTGGCAGCTTGGTTTTTATGCTAATAGCCAGCATTGACTTTCACTGCTACTGAGTTGGGCTACATTTGAATTATTATCTTAAGGTAAAAGGATCCTTTATTCCTTTCTTTGTAGTCTTAGTCCTCTCTAGTCAAGGAAGCCTGAAAAAACCAATATAATAGTGCCCTCTGGCTTTGTGCTAGAAAAATCTAATAGGTTGCACAGCACAAGCCACTTACCAGTGACTGTTTAGAAGGTTTTAAAAAAAAATCAAGCTGTTGATGTAAAAAAGGTAAGAGTTTAAAATGAATATAAATTATGACATTTAAGCACAGCCTTAGTAACAGAGTGGTATTATTATGTGCCTTAAAGAGACATCCAGACTTCCCATTAAATCTCTTGGATGCTGACACGTTAGTGTTAACATTCCTTTTCTCCCTTGCCCATTATAAGATGCTCAGAGCTGCATAACTTGGTGTGCATGTGTATGTGAACGCAGTTTTTCATTTTGTCTATACAGATGAGCAGGGATTTTTTTTTTTTTTTAAATGACTGAATGACGCACTGTATTCTAACGTATAGGAAAAAAAATAAACTAGGAGTAACCACAATTTTCAAGGCTGTCCTAAGAAATACAGCTGTGCATATCAGGAAAAAAATCTGAAGAAATCAAAGGAAGAAGTAGGGAAGTATTTTTGTGAAGTGCCTGAATCTTTCTTTACGGTGGTTTTGAAAATGTAACCCCTAACAGTGAAGATGAGTGGAAAGCTTTTATATTCTGCTTTTCCGACATTTTCTTTGATTTCTGGTTTCTTTGGAGGTATAGACTTGCACGGTAAGCTTACTGATAACAGTCTGGCTTTCTCAATTACCTTTTGCATCCTCTTTAGAAATAGCCCAAGGACTATCATGGCTGTGAGACAACATGTTGAAAGCTCTCTTCTAGTCATTCCTGTGACACTCTGTCTCCTGTGTTTACTAATAACCTAGGTGGAACAAATGCGACATAAAGATTCCCGCATTAAATTAATGAATGAGATTCTGGGTGGCATAAAGGTGCTGAAGCTGTATGCTTGGGAACCATCGTTTTCAGAAAAAGTGTTGGAGATACGAAAAAATGAGCTGCGAGTTTTGAAAAAATCTGCCTATCTCAATTCTTTGTCCACTTTTGCATGGATCAGCGCACCGTTCCTGGTAAATTGAATTTGCGTGGCTTTCTAAGCTGTACAAGTACATCCTTGAAGGAGAAGTGTGAGGCTTTCTGCTTGCTAAATGTACATAAGAATAACATGTAAATACATTTTAAAAAAATTATTCACATGCTTTGAAGCAAAGTTTCCTGTTCTCTAGAGCCTTTTTGTTAATCGGTATTAAAGTATTTCTTGATAAAGCCTACCAGTGGAAGCTGGGAATAGCTGTCTCAGGAGAATTTCCAACCACTTCAAAGTACTTCCCATAACAAATTGAAACTAGAATTTGAAACCTCAGAGATATTTGTGAATAGCAAAAATAGCAAAAAAAAAAATTCAAATTGAGTCAGTCAGGACAACATCTGTCTTAAGCTCTCATTTCTACCTTTTGTGTTACAGTCTCTGCTTGTTTTAGTAGGAGAGGAAGTTGTTAAATTATTCTGCAGCTTAAAAAAGATTGATTTAATGTAAAAAAAATAAAGCCCAAGTGATACCTTGCAAATTCTGAAATGCTTTTTCCTCAATTTTCTCTTTC